CTCTCCTACTTGTCGCCTTCGGTTTCACTCCCTCACAGAGTCGAGCGGGAAGGCAACGTCGACTTTGGAGAGACAAGTTACCTGTAAGTTAAATGGAGAACCGCTTGTGACTCTCGCCTGTTAATCTCGGCATTGTGTTACTTTCGTCTAGGATCGTTAACATCGGGGTAGCTTACACGTAGCATATTTATGCTATCACGAAATCCGAGATACAATGCGAGGCGATCGAGTTACGCCACGCTGCCTTGTGTGCACGCTTATGATTCTCGCTAAGGCTTCTTATGGTCGTATGACGTACGTACTTACGGCAGCGCGTTATTGTGGCAAGCAACCGCGACTTTATCAACTTATGTACTGAATCCTTGATGTAACGTTTAACGCAGTCGAATTGCAAACAATCGACTGTCTCCGACGTCAGAGCGTACGTAAGCACTGCAGATTTAATTAGCGAAAGAGAGAGAGAGAGAGAGAAGAGAAATGCCATTCGCATTTCCGATTACTGCGACTCCATTTTTGGATCGCCGAAATTAAAGGCCTTCATGGTACAAATCGCAAATTTACGATTCCACACGAGACAAAGCGAACCAAAATGACCAAATAAAATTTGCCAACAATTTAATCATCGTGCATCACGTAGAACAATGTAAAATAATGAAAATATAGAATATGCGAGATGTAAAATTCTCTCTCGAAATTAAACGGATTTCTTGGTGAATCGTTGATCAACGTGGATTTGATTTTTGTTATCGTAGGAAAGAAAAACTTCATCAATGTTCAGTTACAATTCGATATTCAGCTTCGAATACGGTTTGTAATCAATACGAGAGTGAATTGTTGGCGCGACGAAATTATTATTTCTACCGGTATTATTAAAAGTATGATAAAGACATAACGGAATCACATCTACATTGAAGAATAATCGGATACCCTCTAATTGTGATTAGAGCGATCGATGGTGTCAGTGAGGTGTACCGATGTATGTTAACGAGGAATCCGAAACAATCATTGATACACAAACATTATCAGAGCACACAAACCGCATATGGTTACATAACATACATGCGCCCAAGTATTCCTCTGTTCTCACTCGATTTTAAAGAGCTCATATGCGGCATTTGCACGGATGAGATAGTTTAAATTCAATTGCATTGACATTTACGTACGCGTAAATAATTTGACTAAATGAAGCTCAAATTAATATAAATTATTTCTCGTGCAAACTGTGCATCACAATGCTTCGATCGAAGCGAATGATCTACGATATCTATATCGAATCGCTTCGAACGTTATACGAAGTATCTGCGATTCCACACAAAGTCTGTAAATCTATCCGATGAGTTACGTATAAATTATCACGAAATATCGTAAAACTCCTTTATGTAAGTATCTACTAGGCAAGATATTCGTACACTCTAATTAGATTACATCGTAAAATATTGGATTACTAGGTTGTGTGACTTTTATAACGTATTAGCATGTAAAAGTTGCACAAAATGGATTAAATAGAAGATTAAAGAAATTATAGAGCGGCAGTACGCCTGCGAATCATATTATTTTTCCGATTAGTATTTATGGTCTTATCTTTGTTACGCCATACCACTCTCGACAATGTCTCGAAGTGACGTGAGTCACGTCTTGTTTCATAAAGGGCACCGATCTGTAAGAGCCATTTATGTCGAAGATATTCCCTGAACTTGCTAAAGAATAGTCTTCACACATAATCGACCTATCCTTGACTCCAGCGATCAATATCTATTATCAATATTCGATTACTGAACGGTACTATTAATGTTATTCATCGGAAAACCGTCAATGTGAAAAGTACTGATACGAATGGAAATAGTTTATTTTAACATTATTGATAAAATCCACGATATAGAGTTAATATAATTGGGAAACGACTGAAAAAGGAAAAATCAATGAAGGTAAAACTTAAAGATTAATTAATACAACTCTGTCAGATGAGTGCACCAAATGAACGAACGCGTCAATTCCTGTTTCGAGTCAGCTGGTTCATGAGCGCTTTCGTTTTACAAAATGACGGTAACCGGAGAGGCGAACGTTGGCTTTCACGCCCACTGCAGTTGCACAAGCGTGATACAACAATTAGTTGCAAATCTCGCGCGCTGGACTTTCTAAATTCATACGAATTGGACTGAGAGCACGATAAACCGCGACGCAATAAACTGTACGTATCGCGTGCAACCGACGCCGTAAGTAACGGTGAACTGCGTTTTTCCTGTGCGTTTCATCTCTGAGAGAGGTGCATGCAGATATAAGCGCATTAAGCGCGTGGCAACAATCCGCGAGATAAAAAACAGCTTGCCCCCGCTTATACGTGTATTTGTGCACGAACCGCTTCTGAAAACCGCGACGCGCATGAGGGATCGCGATCGCGTATATAGTTGCGCAAGGAAATCCGATCGTCTCGGTCACGTAATGGACTCGCGAAAAAAGGCGCTGAGCATTAAGGGAGACAAACGACGGTGACGTGGCGATTTGTCCCACAGAGGTGCAAGAAATAATATAGCGGCGGAATCGAGGCCGCAACAGGCATAATGACAGTCGGGTGAGTAAATTAACCATTGCAGTGACGGCATCGACCACAGCAAGCCGCTCAGAAAGGATTTTTTTTTGTACTTCTTAATGAGTGTTTGGCGAGGCAATTAATACACATCGGATGAAGCGGTCAACTGCGGTCGATGGCGACGATATTAATATTGGTCATTGATATACCAATAAATGTCTTATGAAGAGACCAGTTGATTTGTAAGTTAAACCCCCCGCAAATTCGGTCTTTTAACTTTTTACTTTTTTTGACACAAATGAAATTTCGCTCTCTTCCTTCATCTTTGATCAAATTTCAATGTTCGTTAAATGAAGATTTTAACATTTAAATTAAACACAATTATTTGTAGAATATATCGTTCTACTAATGTAGAATGTATTATTCGTTTTCCGTATGTATAAAAGTTCAAGACAGGGGCTTGTTTTACAAAGAGAAAATTCTACCTCACCCATTCAGCTTTTTATCTACAATATTTGGTAATATAATATAATACATCGAAAGGAGAATTTTGCTAAAGTTTCTAAACATTTAAACATTTAATAGATTTGAAAATAATTTTCATGGACTGTCAAAATAATTATGTAGCAAAGGCATGATGAGCAATGTTGCAAAACGTTTTGACTTCTTTAATTAGTTTAATGGTATAAAATCACTTTCAAATCCATATCTAGCTAAATTTTAGATATTTCAGCAACCGTTCTTTCCGAAATGTGAACAGTAATCCTAAATTTTTCCATATTTTTTTTTAAAGCCTAGAACAGTAAAAAAACTTGAACTGGACAAAAAGATGGAGGAGGTCAAAACAGATTGCAAACGATGAATTAAATTCACAAAACAGAGAAAAATGGCGCGCTTTCAGGATTATGTGACTCGTTTAAATAGGTCAGTCTTTGTATTCGTTAAGATATCGGTTTCAGTTCGAAGAAGGCGCTTCTAATTGCTTCGCGACCATCATAGATACGATAGTATTGCAATTCTACCTGATCATTTTGCGCGTCAAAAGACGACGAAATCGCGCACAAGAAATTGAGTACCGTTTCAGTTCGTGACAGCTTCGTCGAAATGGCAATGGAACAAGACAATCCATAGCGTGCGCACGTCAGAGACACAATTTATCGCGACCTAACAGGTAGCCGACGGCAACAATTTTCAATTAGTTCCATCCGAGTAACGTCGCGGGCGAATCCATCCTCTCGAGAGAGGATTTTTCCCTCCCGTCCCGTAAATCCCCGATGAAACCGTTAACAAAAATCGCAATGAGCCATTGCGATTTTTGACGTCGGGTCCGCCGCGATCGCCGTCGATAGTGAAGTTTTATTCTATGAATTTATGCGGATACCCGATAAATGCGTGTCGACGCACCGGCACAATTTTTCTCGTTAACAATAGTCAATAAAATCCTACGTACGAAGCCCGCGCGCACATCGTACCTCGGTGATAACAGTCGACGAATCGTGCGAACTATTCCCGATCGCGTCATCGGCGAGATTTTTTTATCTCGCTCGAATGTTCCGGTCTCGCACCTTCTTGAACAAAGGCGCGAGCAGAGGCATGAAGTTCCGCATTCACGAATGCTGATTAATAATCTCCCATCATACTTCTTTCTTTCTGTTTCGAAACGAATTCCGAATATCACAGATAAATGGAAGGTCTTCGTTGAAAAACAGACATCGTAAAATGCCAAAAAGCGCCAAGTCTTCATTAAAAAGTATCAGACATCGAACCTATACAGCATGAAATATTTCAGAAATATTTTTCATGAAATATTTTCGAAATATAAACATGTTCAGAATATCAGAGTATTTTAAAATATCCTTTTTCTTACAATAGATTTGTAACAATATTTTAAAAAATATTTTCGAAATAACGTAATGTTTCAAAATGTTTTACAAATGTTTATAAAATATTTCTGAAACACATTTTATTGAAATATTTCACAAAAATGATTCACATAAATATTTCGTGCTGTAAAAGTATTGCCGAGAGATGCGGAATTGAAAAATCTCGAAATGAGACAACAAACACTTTCATCAATCAGGTTCCTCGTAGGACAAACAGCGCGGATGCGGCTCTTTTATATACGACCGATGCGACAGGGGCAAAAGTAGAACTAAACTGTAAACGGTACTTCATGCTGCGTCCAATAAGTCATGCACTGAATAATGTCATGTGCCTGTACGTACGCATACAGATGTAAGGCTTATAGGTATCGCGAGGCGGAAAGGCTGGGCCGATTCCACGCGTGCATGGCACGTATGGCGGGGCCCACCCGATCGCGAATGCGAGCGGATTAATGGGCAATAAATTCAAGCGCAGGACCGGTTAATTATCCAAGTCATCTACGGGGTCCGGGATGACGTATCGCCCAGCTACAATCAATACGCGAGAATCTTTCGCTCTCGTCCCATCCAACGATCGTGTTGTAACTTACCTCGTGAGATACGGGATTGTTTTTATTACGGCCGGTGTTGGATGCGTTATTAATGGAGGAGAGCGTGGTGAGGGTCGCCGTACCGACGCCACCGACGGTTTTCTCGCTGACCTTCGTACCAGCACCGCCGACATCCTTGTGCAACGTTCCAGGACTCTGTAATCAGGAAAAGAACGGGCATTGTCTAAATAATCGAGTCTTGAGAGACACCCTCAAATTCGACACGGAAAGAATTTGTGCTGGGAATCTAAATATTTAGCAAAATACAAAATCTGAAAATAACAGCGTTGCTCGTCATGCTTGAATTTCCTACGTAATTTTGATAGTTCAATAAAATTATTTTCATTTGTATCTGTCTCAATTTCATTGTTCCCGTGAACATACGTAAGTAACTTGTTGCATTCGCTTAACTTTATCATAAAAGCTTGATAACAATTACAGAATTCATCAGTATCCGTAGGCTGATATGCATAATCGATTCTTATATATTTAAATCCGTCTTAAGTATAGTTTTAAGATAGATCATAAATCAAAACAAAGCCGTATATTAGCTAAAAACATTACTTAACGATTTCGAAATAAGAACGAGCTACAAATAGCATACATAGTCATCTTTTCGATATACCTATTATTTCTCGAAGACATCGTTGATAGAATTATCTATTCGCGCTTGAAAAAACAATTATCAATTAACTGACCCACATCTCCGCTGGTATAATAATAAGGCTTGCCGCGCGAAGTGACAGTAAAAACTAATCATTTTATTCGTCGCGCTTTATCGTATCAATTATTCCGATATTTCGCTGGTTAACGGCGCGGTCCCTTTTTGACTCGCCCGTTTTCGCCTACCGCGATCTATTCTCGAGCCCTTCCCGTTTGCCTTTCCCGTCCACAGACCAAACACGCGATTTAACAATCGGAGACAAAGCGTTAACGTGGGTGGCTTCGAGTGCAAGCCGAACCGCGCGTCGGTGTTGACGGGACACGTGTGCGGATGCACATCGTTGCACGTGTGCGTGTCATGAGTGCACGTCCACGATATGCAGGCGATAAGTGCACCGAAGAAATGACGCCGCGGGCGATTACGATTCCGACGCTGCGCTCTCATTCATTGTGCGATTCTCTTCGGTGGAATCACGACTGTAATGTTTGATACCCGATGATAAATTTCCTCCGCTAGCTTTGTTTTCTCTTAGAAAGCTATTTTTTTTTTACAGTTTTTTACACGGAAAGAACAGTTTTGCTGAAGTATACAAATTTAACTAAACGCAGATCGAAATATGTGTATGTATTATATATGGAAGTGTTCGGAGCGGATCGGAATTTTCCCATTTTCCCTAAAAAATACAATAGAAATTTAGACAGTAATTGAATAATTCCGATCGAAATCCATTCCGAATAATTCCATAATATGAATTCTGTAAATAACTTTTTTGGACCATCAGAAAAAATTTGATACGTAGGACGCTCAAAATTGGTTTACTAAAATGTCAATATTTTTTATAATATATTATTCATTATATTTGAGCGTCCCACATAATTATTATATTATTTTGATTATTTAAATTACATTATTTTAAATATTATTTTGATAGTCCAATAAAATTACTTCCAGATCTGTATTTAGTTAAATTTTTGACACTTCAGAAATCTGTGTAGAAATTCTTTACGTGTAAAAATTGCTCTCATTGTTTGAATAGCCATTATACGTTTAAGTGAGATTAATATCATTCCCGTATTATTTCGAGATTGTAGTGTCCGATTCAAGGAGGCAGATAAATGCTCGATGTGGATAAATGATACGATTTTCGTGGGCGAAACGGAATCAGACTAGTGGAACGAAGGAACGAAAAAATATCGATGCGCCGCATCGCGATGTATTTTTTCGCATAAATAAAGCACGTTTGACGAACAGAAAATCTACAGTCGTCTCGGTGCATCAGAGAACAATCGGACGGCAGAGACGGCTTGCTTTGCAAAACAATGTAAGAATAATTAAAGCTCGTCTCGTTAGTGTCGGACAATGGAGCGCGATAGATTCGCCTCGCTGCAAATGTGGAACGATGCGCATGCAAAGGCGTATCGTTACCGCAAATGGTGCATCCAATGCTGCACTGATAATCGAAGTCATGAGATCTATTTTTTATATTCTGCACTAGAACTCTCCTTCTCGCTTTCGTCTAATATCAAATTTACACCTATCTCTGTTTGAGTTCCAAAAATGTACAATAGTTTCAACCACAGAAAATATTTTTAGGTCGTTGTATAAAAATGTAAAAGAGATCGATTCCTACAACAATGCGAATGCATATGCGGATACATTCTCATGCCTTATTTATTTCGAATTGAATCGCCACGAAATCTTTTTCTCGACTAACAAAAAGAGCATCGCCGCTACGACGTAGCCACGATGAGAATTAACTGTAAGCCTGTAACGGTTCAAAGGCGGCGCACTCATTACAGACGATTTATAATTCGCCATCAGGATCTATGGAACGTTTATAAACGGTGCAGTGACCCCGCGGCTAATGCGCAGTGACAGAAATCGATGTATTCTTAGGCCGACGAGTCCGCCCCTAATTATACACGAGTCTATAATTATATATTGATGTTTAATTAGAGGGCGACCCTGGATCCCGAAGAAAAAAAATCTTTGCATAAGGAACGCGGTCAAGAACCTACGCGAATCTCATCAAACACGTTGATGGGGAGATCATCGTACCTACTTACTTCATCGGCTGCTCTCAACAATGGAAAATAGGTCTAACAGCCTAGACTTCCATTTAGGTAGGTAGCTGAGATTTATGTCGCTAAAGCAGACTCTAATTAGCAAACTCTCGACTATGTTATATACTATCCTGAATTGAAGTCAATAGGATTTTAAACATGTACGCTCAAGATAAATTTTACACAATTAATATAAACAATTTATATTACTACGATATTGTCGCATTCAGGAGAAAGAGTAGGAAGTGTAAACTAAGCTAGAGCCCACATTCATACTTACGTATAGCAGTCGTGAAATGAGCAAGACCTGTTTATCACGTAACACAAGCTTTATTTAAACCAAATACAGGGAGCGGTAATCAGAAACCAAAACCGTCACACATCCGTAAGCAGTGATAACTCCGACGAGACTCTCTTGTCGTTTATACTTGCAGTCAATTTGGTGGTAGAAATCAGTGTTTTCTTTCTTAAATTGTCGATTTTTTCTGATCCAACTGATATGGAGAGACGTGAACTTTATGGAACAATATATATTTTCACCCTTCGTCAACAAATTAAATTTTCATCCCTCGTAACCTGACCTTTCGAACTTTAATTTTTTTTTTATATATTATTCCGAACTATATAAATATCTAAAAAAAATTCTTACATACTTGTAAAAGCTTTAACAACTTTTCTTCATTATCACAGAAATTGTATTGTATTTTATTTATTTTTTAGAGATTTAAATTTATCTACTATATATCACAATAAAAAATCAACTGTTTTTTAAATTCAACATTGTCAGCGAAGAGTTAAATTTAAAATAAGCAACAAATATATGTATGTATTACATGGTCGTTTGACGTTACCTCTGTAAGTCATTTTAATACTAAATGTGCGCATCAGAATACGGATCTATGACATAGGTGGGACAGGAAATAGCGGGGAAACGGGAGGGGGAGAAACAACGCAGTAAATTCGTTAGATTTGCCTGTTCGTACCATTGTCAATGTCACATCGATGGATAACTGGTGTCACTGTATGGATGGCAGGTCAACGCACGTATCTACGCAACACACTTTTTTTCTACAAAATCGATACGAGTAGGTAGTCAAAACATGTCGAGTACACGCGGCAACATTTGTTCTAGCTTCTTTTCTAGCCAACGATGAAAATGCGAGTAGCATAAGAGAACGCTTGAAAAGAAAATTGTTAAGGAAAGTCGTATGCCTATGTTCGCCAATCAATGTTCCCACAACAGTAGAACTTTCTTTCCAACGTGCTTAGAATTAGCCGTTAATTAAAAACGCTTCCTCACGATGTATTCATAATTATTATTGAAAACGTGATGACTCATACACAGAATTATCGTCAAGATATTATAGTATTAATATAAATTTTTTAGCAGCTTATATTTCTTTACATTAGACTCTTCTCTTCGCTACTAATCACTTCGTGATTATCTTGCTCGACAGATGGCCGAATTTTCCATCTACGATTACGGGAAAGCGCTGATACCTGAGATGGATCTCTTTACCTTAGGTCAACCTTAATGGATGAGAAGGGGTCGAACAACGTGAACGGAAGAAGTTCGACCCTTGGTAAAAAGGATCACGAACGGATATATCGGAGCAAAAAGTAAGAGAACTGTGTGGGTAGAAGTAGAGAAACAGGAAGGCGTAAAAAGGGGAAAGCTTAGATTTCAGTAACTGAATGCGTGAGAAGTACCAGGGCCCGCTAGTTCTATTTAAATTATCTGTACAATACATGACTGATGTAGTCCCTGTAGAGTGAGAGACGTCGACACAAAACCTCGTAGATCCTTTTATGACTAACAAAAAGCGGGATACATGAGAGAGGGATAAATTTAGGATCTCACTGTATCATAACGGGAGTAAGAAAGAGAGAGATGTAAAATGTCCTACTTTAGATCACTCGCGAGATGAATAATAATGAACAAGAATTATGTAAAAATTTACAATAGCCATATTAATGTTAAAAAATAAAAAAGATAACCTTACTCCAAAGTCCTCCGCGTTTCTAATACAAGTCTCACTTTTACATATATTTTGAGAAAAAAAAAGCGAGGTTTGTGTGACTAAAAAGAATTGAAAAGTTAGTTGATCGTGATTTTATCTGACACGGGCGAACATGTCGCAAGGCAAAATTCGTCCGCATATAAATAGCAGCAGGCAGAGAGAAAAAAAAAGGGGAAAAAAAGAGATATGATAAAGTTGGACACTCTCTCATCCACCCAGTGCGGCACCCTATCATTAGCCTCGCTCAGAGGCAAACCTTAATCTCAGGACTGGTGAACGTTGTGGCTCTCGATTTTTCTCGAGGCACCTGGCTGCACGCGGACCTGGCCCGGCACACCTAGCGATAGCGGCAGGTGAGCAGATTTGCCTCCCAAACCTGCATGCAAGAAGATCGGCTGCACACCCGCT